AGGTGAATGAAATCACTTAAGGACACTTAAGTGTAGTAGTTACTTGCCAACGTATTTGGAGTTTTCTTTCGCCTAGGCTTGGCTTCTGGATATTACTAAATACATTTCAATCGCCGTAGATTTTGTTCCTTCCAACGCTAAAGCGAAAGCTACAAATCTGCGCATGTTAATAGAACGAGGAAGGTAGAGCTTTCGTTGTCGTGGGCAACTTTTTCTACCTCTGCTCGGTGTGGCCTTTGCGCTGTACTTTCAGCGTAGGCACAGTTTAAGTTCAGTAGTTTTGTTCTCTTCTTTTTCTTTTTAGTAATTCATATTTCAGCTTGAATCACACAACCAAAGAGTTAATTCTTCGGGTAAATAAACCAAATCAACTGAGTTCTATCTTACGCGATGCTTCATCACTACATTCAGTATCGCGGGCCATCGGGCCATTGCCTCCACCCATTACCGATGAATGAATTCATTTTTCCAGGCTAATGACTGAATGGGAACTCATTTTCTCTCTCCCTCTCTTTTTCTTTTGCCTTCCTACTCGGTTAAAAGTGATTTCATCAGCAGGTGTGACAGTTCATTAATACTTGATTAGTGATCATCTGAAATGTGAGCTGCACAGATTGGCATTCTTTGGATATGAAAACTACAGAGCGTTAAAGATGCATTTATTGACCAAAGTTCATTCGGTTGATTAACTGCTGTGTTACATTCTCCTCTGTTGGCTACAAGTAATATTAAGTCTGTAGTCCGTGGAATAAGTGAGAAGGGCACCAAGGTTCAAGCTATCATTTCCACTCTTCTTGCTTCAAAACGCCTATCCTCAGAAAACACAATAACTCTATACTAATCTTCACTGCGAGCTTTTGTTGGGGCAAATTTTGCACTTTCGTCCATGTTTAAAGGCCCGTACACTTTCATACTGTTTGGCTATCAGAATAGATGTTGTGGAAGCCATGTTTTGTGCTTCTGACGATGTTCATGCATAAGCACTTTTCTCCACTCATGGAATATCCAAATTTTTCACGTTAGCTTTCCCACATGTTTGCACAAGTTTGGGCACGTCTTAAAGAATGCTACATTTATCATTTGCGAACTCCTAAATTACCAACATAAAGGGATTTAAAAAGTCACCATCTTCGCGACCCATTCTTCTGTGTTTTTCACCACCCACTTTTTTCATGAAGTAATCCCTATTTTACACGTCCATCCTCCCAACTTATTTACTCCTATAATCTGATCCCCTCATTGACAGAACCATATCCGTGGCTTGTTAATTATCGTGGAATTTCAAATTGCACTCCTAGAAATAAACAGATACAAGGCATAACCTTTTGACCGTTTACCGATGTTTTATTTATCATATGTAACCAGATGGTAGTAGTGAAGGTCCCAGGCTCATACTTTCATCATGCACTTTGTTTTCTCATCAATAATTTATGCAGATCCTGATGATAATAAAGCACGCAATTTTGTCCACTGACCTTGGCCGACTGGAGGCCTCAAAAGAAGTGGTGGTGGACATTTTGGATAAGCGAGGTGCCATCGACTGGGACAACAAGGATCACAGGTACATCAAACTTATTCCACACCGATTCGCCAGTGTGCACTTCAATAATAGCTTTTCCATCCCACTCATTAATTATCGCCATCATCAATCCAGTGGTTTGTCCCTTCGATTGTGAGCATCTACGTCTTCCTAGACGAGAGGTGCCGGTTTAAGGTGTTTATCGGTGTCACATTTTCTCGTATTTGATGGACAACGTAACCGGTGCTATTGCTGAGGGTGAAGTATAATTATTACTTTGGGAATACGTGCAGTATTTCTGTACGGGAGTGGTCTAGAAGAAGAGAATTGGAAGGAGGATGGAGGATTGTCTGATATTTTGATGCATGTTTCTGCTTACTATCTATAAGTTAATATAATCGCACAGGTCACTTTTAGCTCTCTGCCTCTGATGTTCTCTTTCCTTAGAATGGCGACAGTGGCCATTGTACTACCGGTTGCAGATTTATGCTCCATGTACAAACCATGGGAGGTGCATAAAAAGGTTGTTCTCCTCGTCATGGAAGAAATGTGGGCACAAGTAGGCTTCACAATACTTACATTAACTAATGCTTTCACCATATTTCCACGGTTGTACCATTCGCACGAGTCTAATAGCAAAAGCCGAAATACTTGTTCAACTTAGTATGACAACTACCCTCTGGAAATGAGGCTGTTTTTCAGTCGCTTTCATGCATATGCGATACTGGATTCATTGAACGAATGACTGAGTCAATATTAACGCCTACACTAAAGTCAAAAAATTTTTTCTACTGTAGGGAGATGAGGAAAAGAGGAATGGTTTCATTCCAATGGACTTGATGAATCGTGATCTCTATTACCAAATTCCAGAAATGCAGGTAAATCGACTTCCATGGCCATGTCTGATTTGACTTTCCATTTCTCTCGTAGATCAATTTTTCTGAGAAGTACAGTATTATTATCTACTGAGTTTCCATCAAGCCACCGTTGTTTGGGCTTGTATGTATTGTTGCGAAATTAGAGTGCGCTGTTACTGCATTTAATGTCCATAATTGTCGTAACTACGGTGAAATATTCTTCCCACGCTTCAATTCTGATGGTTTGCGTTGTTGCGTGGAAAAGACCGATAGCATGCAGGCCTGCTATGGCCTATACTCGCCGCGTTAGCTGTTATAGACATGCTTTCAACTTTGGATAGACACCTTCGAGTTCATCAGCTAAACTGCTGTAGCATCACCGCTCCCTGCGTCCAAACCGTTATGAATTACTCATTCTGCAAGATGGCACGTATTGTGGATGGCAGTCTCTGTGCGTCTTCGACTTTGCTCAATCACGCCCAGTTCACAGTTCGAACATGTTTTACAATTAATTGTACAACTTCTCCAATCGTTCTTGTAGATGGAAATGAAGTGCATTATTGTGGACGAAAATAGGCTATTGATGCAGAATAAGATTGGCAAACTATTGATTGGTAGGAATATAGCAGTTCCCGCAGGACAGGATGATCTGCAAGATCCCCAATGTTGGGACTGTCTTGTTAACCCTTAATAAGTTCTCTAGATATAGTTGTCCTACTGCCATAGTTGCGAAACCACAGGTTCAACAGTCGTAACAACTGAAGTATATCTTGGTTGATACGTCTTCCATCCCTCTGAAGCCACATGTTCTGTGACCTCAACCAACTTTGATCCTCATATTTGCCTCCCCAACATTCATAACTAGTGATGCTTTTGTAATGGCTTACCTGAGGTAGTGAATCATTTTAGCTAGTTATCTACAGCACTATCATGTTTTTATCACGATATTGCGTTGGGATTGCACTGTGTATTAAAAGTGGTCTTCCTTTATGCTTAGCCCAATTTTGAACAAGGAACTTTAAATGCGTTTTAAAAGCACCTAATTCCTATGAAAATTTATGTGTTGGAACTTTTAAATCGAACGGTTTAGACGGTTGTTTGAAAGTACGTTATTTGACTGATTAAGGAACGGCTAGTCCTGGGTACACCAGACGAGGCTTTAAATGTTAGCATAAACTTCTCACCAACATCCCATCAAAGAGTTAAGACGGGCAGGCATTCAGAGACGGCTGTTGGCAAGGTAGCCGCCTTAGCACTTAGCGATTACGTTGTGTCACAGTCAGTTCCATATTTTGCCTTTTGTGCACCTTCTCTTGTACTCTTTCTCAATTGCCCTTCAGGAATGCCGCTTCATTTTCTTTCATCTTTGTGGATTTTCTCATGCAGCTGCGCAGTTATGAAGTCTTAGAGTTGTTGATTTTCCTCCTAAACTCTGATTGTGCAAGGGTTAAAGCAGAACTCAATCATCTGGTTCAGTGACAATGGAGCTCTTATGCAAGATCTTTCCTGGGATCTATGCATGTTCATTGACTGCTAAACTGTAGAGTTAGTAGGTTAAATGGGAGTTGAGTGCAATTTTTTTCTAAAACTCGGGTCCTCTTCAGGCCCATTCATTAGTTGACATTCTGTAGCATTACATTATCGATTCAAAACTAATGGACTTACTTCATTGTGGTATGCGGACTAGTGGGTCGTTAATCTGGTGTAGCCCTCACTTCACGTCTATAGGCATTTGTTGCACTCATTTTGATGTTTCTCGGAAATGGCTACCGTCGATCCACAGTTCGAAGGAGGTTCACCTACCCATTTCGATCGTGTTCAGGCTGTCCTATTAGTTTGATAGAGGTCAGTATGTTGCTTCTGCTTTGTAAGCATTGTGGAGACCACAGTGAAATCGCATTTGTGATAAACTTCACTAATATTGATGGACCCATCAAGTTCATCACCATACTCAATAACGTTCGACATATTCTGTTCCTTTACAAACAACGCTGAATATTTCGCAGAGGGAGCTTGAAAACAGTATCAGAAGTGTGAACGCTCTCGTTGTAAAGAACTTCTACCCTCTCAATGTATTAAGAAGACCGTTCGCTGATACTTATTGTATTTGATTCTGCATATTGCGTGCCTCATTGTGATGATGCACTTTGAGACTACGAATGTATCACCTTAAATCATTTTGGATTATTTCTGTTTCATGGTGTTAATATTTATATTTATAACTCTGGTGCCAAGTTATTCTCCAGCGTCCACTATCAATTCGTACATACTTAGCACGTCTACTACTGCTGCCCTGTAGTTCAGGTGTAACGGTGTCATTTGCAGCGTCTTGGCAGGTGTTAAGCTAAATCTCTTCTTGAAAAGTTTTATCAGGTTTGAAATGACTACTAATTCCTTGCTCTCTAACAGACAGTCAAAATGATGCCACATATGAATAGCAAAGTATTTAGGTTATATTGTTGGCCTTCGCTCTACAAACTCTATAGGCAACTATGTTAACAAACTGTTGATGTAGACAAATCAAAAGCATGAGGTATGTGATTGCCAGAGGCATCACGAAGGACGGTATTTCTGAACTCTTATATGGGGCGACGGAGATGTATTTGATTTGCATAACGTTTTGCCAGATATTAAAACTTGATTGGAGTTATTCTTTGTCGTCGTTGTTGGCCTTTTTGTTGGGGTGGAGTCGATCATCTCTGCGATATGTACCAATGCCTTACATTCAAGCATATTCCCTTGTACTTTGACTGATCCAGATGTGAAGGTAACTACGTAATTCGCTGCATGGCAGAACACTGACGATGGTACACACTGAGGCACATAAAATTAGCCTGAAAATTAAAGCTGGATGGTATGCAGCGTTGTGCTAAACCATTCTGACAGGGGCAAAATCAATCAGTAGGTAGTAAATGGAGGCGCTTTGGTGTTTGCATGTTTTAGACGTCAGAGGGTGTGCGAAAATTCTTCGCAATTCTAATGCAGCCTTTTCGTTTTACGAGCACTCTGGTGTTTATTGGCTTGGCTTTGGGCATTCGTGGTGTGAACCTTTAAAGCGCAATATTTTGCCTGAGGTATGTGGACTTAATATTTCCAGCACTATTTCGCTCTTTTGATGAGCAGAGACCACACCAGATATCCCATAGTCATGGCGGCTATGCTTGATCGTCGCAAATAGACCAATCCTCTTCAAATGCATTAATTGAAGTACAAAATTCACTGTTAGCTAACTGCAAATTTGAAAGTTGAGCCGTGAAATGCTGCAATGCTAATGCGTAGCGCTGAGTGGTATAGTTCTTTTTTTCTGATTCCTTAACACGCAATCGGATCCTTAAGTGTTCGCATACGCACTGAACCTGCACTTTAACCCTTCTTAGTGCCATTGCTAAGTTTGATTGTCATAAAAGTGACGGTATGAAGCGGCTTGATCGTATGACAAGCACACAATTCGATCAGCACTCACAACGATTACTTATGCCACCTAAAATTTGGCGACTTTTCGTAACGACTTGTTTGTCGAGCTTTAGTCGAATATAATGAGAGACGCCGCGTTCAATGACTGCATTAAAGGGCATTTACCAATTTCTGAGCCATTTACTGTTCAATGTCACTACAAAGCAAACAGCAATGCGCCAATCGCAATCATGCTCCGCACCAGTCATTCTGAAATCAGGGACTCATTCATGCGCTTGTGCACTTTTTATTTTTTTATAAGAAATTAGACAGCCTCCCTACTCGTGCTAGTCGTCATTCACTGTCTATGAACTTTTAGTCGAACTTCTACAAAGTCGTATGTCTACCGCTCTTCCGACTGATAAGCCGGGCCATACCTTCACTGATGGACATTCCGAACCAGGCCTTTGCAAATTTCTCTCGGTGGATGGAAATGTGCCTTCTACCTGAGAGTGTTAAGAGGGAAAGATTAAATGAACTAATCCAGCGCCGATCACAAGGAATTACAGCTAACACCTACTCCGTCTAATTGTGAATTCTATGTCCCTTTGAGTTGTTTCTTTTATTTACTCAAACATATGCAAGCATAATTTGTGCTAGAGGCCTTTTCATTCTTGATATCAAATATGGTTCTGATTATTAATGCTTGCAAGATGGTGCTGGTGCAGCTGAACTATCGAAATAATCTGATACACACAATGCTCAGTAGTTTCCTACTTCAGTTCCAGATAATGGTCTGTTTGTTTTCTAATGGTGATTGTTGGATTTACTTAATGTAGCTTACCCATTAGGTATCTTGCAAATGCCAAAACCATCTTTTGATGTAGCCTTTGGCATTCATGCAAATGAGCTTTTGATTCTCATCAAGCTAATCCAGATTGACATCTTCATTTAAAGTGCAAACCTTGAGGTTACTAACTTCAACAACAAGGTTGGTTCATATTTATCGTTCCTTTTGTGCCGCACCTCATCGCTTATACAGTGAAAGCAGATTTTCTCCAGCTCACTGCCATGCGACAAGTTGTTTCTTGCGCTTGGCAATTATTCGCTACATATTCAGCCATCTGCACAACTTCTGATGGGGTGATTTACGCTGTTTTCGTATTTTGCTATGCACTTTCCACCAATACTTAATAGTGCATACTCATTAAGCCTTCGAGTTTTCGCCTTTCTTATTCTCAACCAACCGAATCTCGCCTTTCTTACACTAGCCTAAATGTATCATGCCTTGGGTGGAGTTATCGCAACTCTGTGCAAGGGTCGAAAATTCGCTACAAATAACTGATGATAACACTGAAGTTTTGTAGCAATTAAGTAAGGCAGGAAGGGACGTGACCAACTTGCTTCGGGGATTATAATTTTTTGCCGCGTGGTGATCCGTTCCATCTATTCCCAAATGTCATCACACGCAGTCAATAAAACACCTTCAATGTACAGTCACTGCCAAACCTTTAGAGCGGACTTTAGCGAGCGAATGACCTTCACTTGAGCAAGTTTTTGCCATGCCTGAAAGGCGATGCGAGGCACGCCTCGCTTCTGTCATTTGAAGGCAGGTGGGAGTGTGCGTGTGTGTTCTCTTGAATTGGGTCCATTACTACGAAAGCCAAATTGCACGACAGTTTGGCAATGTAGTCAAGCTAATAAATCCGTGTTGCACTTTGATTTTAAGCTCCTTCTTCAAATGGGAGCACAATAGTAAAAAAAGTGAATTGACTAGACCTTGTTATGCAGAAGATCCAAGTCATGCATTCGCACTGCAATTTTTATATTTGGCGCATGTTATTTTAGTCCTGTGGCTCCAAGTTTCTTTTCAGTTGAATGAGAATGCTGATTTTTCAGCCTCGCAATACCCGAGCGACAAAACGCGTATGCGGCACATTCAATCTGGATTGACACATCGTTGCAAATTTACCAGCTTCTTATTCAACGAAGCTCTGTTGGAAATGGTAAAGTCGTCCTGCTCCCTCAGTTTGGACTTAGTGATCGAGGTTGACTGACCCAGAATTATACATCCAGGTGATGTAGTATTCCAATATTTATGTGTGTGTGGGGGTATGGGTGTGATACAAAGGATGCATTTACGACAAATTATGTCATAACTCAGCGCTTGTTGGTTAACTTCTATCCTAAGAAATTTGATTGGGTACGTGAAGAAGAGATATGATTAACTCTAGTCAGGAACTCCTGGTCATTGCATCCAGAATTGTGAACCTATGTGAAGCTCCAGGTGAGTCACTTTTTCGAAAGGAAGGCAACAACACTCAGAGATACAGTACACCATGCATCTGGCAGGCACCATCGTGAAACCAGAAGCCAATGCAAAATATCGAACCATATTAGCTTGACTCGGAGACTGCAATTGGTATACAGTCATTAGGTAAGCAAAGTGACAGCGAATCTCATTTTATGAACAAAAGCCAAGGATTAAATTTGCTTGAAAATTTAAGCATATTGAATCTAATTACTGCACTAATTCACATACAGTCAGGAAAAATTTTTAGTTCATGTATCTGCGGGCCATACCTGTGGCAGGAATCCACCCTTCCGTGCCTTCACCATGCAAAAATCTAGATGGCATCACAAGCAGGCAATCATTGACGTTGATCATATAAAAGAGCACACTATAATGATGACAACTGAATGAGTGTTTGAAAGACCCTTTGAAATTAGTGCAAGCAATGTGGGCTTCGTCTAGAAAATTCACCAAACAACATTGTGCACTTTCTCGCCGATGGTGTATACCAAGGCGCAATTTTCACAAGTCCGCTCCTTATGACTGACTTTGCTATTATCCGAGTGCAAAGACCACATAGTCAGCACGTTCGACTGAGAACGGTAAATGGAGCTTAACAATTAAAAGACCGCCTTCTTTGATCGACAATGCAAATGCACTCAAGATCTAAACAAGTGAGAGCTTTCCAGCAATTTGATGGAATCGATAAGTGAGTTGGTGAAAATGGACAACAACTGCATTTGATTCAACAGTTCACTACTTGTATCTCCATGCTCCTCCCTTCTATCGTTTGGTAAAACCCGTAGCCAGGATAAGCTAGTAAACGGTTTACATTGACTACCATGCATGGGTTGAAGCTATCCAGGACGTTAGCAAACAGTGCACGAAAGGGTTGCATGACTTTTTCATCATCTCCAAATCGAAGCTTATAAACAAATACTTCGTCAAACAAAAAGTTGCATTTTCTAAACAAGTATGGACTCTGTTACACGCTCGGGAGACGTATTAATCAAGCCTTTAAAAAATATCATACTGATAGTGTATGTGCTACATCGCCGCCATCACCAAATTCCCGGTGAGGCTTAACAATAGTGGAGATGGGGTGGATGCGTCTGAATCATGAGTACCATCCAAGATCGGCGGCTGATGAAGAACCAATCAGGTCCTGCCACCTCGTGGATGCTGCCGTACCTAATCATTGCCAGCCTCGAGTCTCTCGATTGGCTGTCTTGAGCGAGGACACAGCCGGCACACATCATTATCCGTACTAGAGTTATCCACATGATCGGTTTGTGTGCAAGTCTCCGCAAATTGCTATCGGCTACTATAAACATGGGGTTTGTGAAAATTGAATTCGGTTTGTTTTTAGATTTTATGTAATAAGGCCAACTTTCTCACCCTTTACAGACAGCTATGATAGCACTCTGTTCTTAAATAAAAAAAAGACATTTTAAAGTCAATAAAGTTGTCTGAATATACATACTCAACTGGAGCTATTTTGTATCAAGACTGAGTAAGTCGCGAATCGCTTATTAAAGGTAATCGCCTGAAATTAAGGGCCCCTGATATAAAGTAAATCTGGGCCTAGTTGGATAAAACTTCACATCGTAGTCAAGCATAGATTTAAAGTCTTGAGTAGAGTATGTCATTAAGCGTGTGATTTAGTCTGATAAAGCTTAGCCACTCGAGTTGTAATGGATTGGACGATCTGTGCTGGCGTGTAATCAGTTGGGCTCAGTAAGGACACAGTGGAGCACACGATTCGCCTTTGAAAACAGTATGCAGACGAATGTATAGACTCCTCGCCGATGAATGATTTAATTATTGCCTTTCGACGCCTTTTAAACTGCGAAATGCATTCCTACCTGTCTGCTTATAAATGCAACCATATTATAAGTCGGATATATTTGCTCACATCAAAACGATTCTAGAAATCAACACTTATGTGCGAAGGTAACCATGTCCAAGGTTTCCTAGGCTGAAAAATATGGTGAGTTAATATGAATTGGTTACCGGCGTCCCAAAACGTACATGCAAGGTAAGTGGCACTTCTTTGCTATTTCCCATTCGGTGACAGACGCAGCCATGTTTACACAATGGCACATACAAACATATGTTTAATGTCGTCAAGTGGAATCCCATGCCACAAAAATTGACGAATTGATGTTCACCTTCATGGATGTACCATGAGTTCCTTCCTTTGCTAGTCTAAACACTCGTTAAAAACGGTCATTCATCAGAACCTCACCCACAAATTTCTGACAAGCTAATTCAGATCCGCTGTATTGGTTACTTATTTGACATTTAGAGGTTAACCAAAACGATTTAGCACTACAGCAAGTCCTAAAATACTTGTTATTTAATTCTCAGCCGCACTTCAAGTGGCAGCTGGACCCTTTAGAGTGTAACAAAGGGTACCTCTCGAGAACACTGATGCCAGTGTGATCTATTCCTTTTGACTATAACCACTAGTCCAATTGATGTACACTAGTTGTGGTAGTGAAAGTATGGACCTAACGGACCTTGGAGTAAATAAATTGGTGACAAACAGCAGTCGGCGTTCGATGAACACTCGCTCAACTGACGAGGCCCCGAGCCCCAGAATATGCAGGAGGAAAGTTCGTGGAAAGTGACCTCGGTAGTCACCACATGCTACTTTCTTTGTACCAACGTTTTTAAAAAGAAGGTTAACCTCTTCTGGATTTGGATTGTTGATGATCAGATCCGTAGTTCCGTGTAGGTGTTTCTAACACTTCTTGGGTTTTTGCAAGAAAGTACCGCCCTGTGGGCTAAAACAACCGCCTCTGGATAATTATCCTCCATTAGTTTAAGTCTTCGCTAATTTTACGCCTTGGTTCGCTGCAAACCCCATTTATTACCGAATGCAGTAACAAGCACGCAATCACTTCTATCATACTGTCCTGCTTTGGCGAACGACATTTGGAATGACGAACGGCATGTGCACCAGCTAATAAGTAAGGAACAAAAAGAAGGCGGTACTCTATATAGTTAGCATAAAACTGAGCTGATTCGTCAAGCCTAAGCTTTTGAGTCCCTTAAGAAATAGTGTTTTGGAGTCTACAATAAAATCGTCTTTTGTAATTTTGCCTCGGCAGCAGCTATGCAAAAAGATTCGTTCAAAGAAGACATGTGCGAGCATTGGAGTTAATATTACCATTTTTGTTATAAGGTTAGCCATAAAAGTCAGTGGCTAATAATGGAAGCATTTTGGGATAAAGCACCAAGGTTGAAGAAAATATTCAGACTGTCGTGAGGTAAACGATGTGGAGGCTTTA